ACCGACGTTCATTTTCTCTTTCGTTTGACATGCTTATCTTATATAAGTCTTAAACAAGTTGACGTGTGTTTAAGTATGGTCAAGTTTGTCTTAATTTAGTGAGCTCAATATGGCGTCAAACTAATCAATCAAAAGATTTTATACATAATAACGAAAAAGAAAATCATTTGAGTGGTGATCTCACTCATGTAAATCAAGGAATCACCACTATATCTGGTGGCAACTTCTTGTGACAGCAAACCAGAGGGACTCCGTTTTTTCTTTTTTTTGTTGCTTAAAATAGTTCGTCTTAGACTCTTGTGTCCATACTATTTTCGTACTTCGACTTTTTAAATTAAAAATTTTATTTTATTTGATTTTCTGATTGACCAAAGTAATTTCCTTTGACAAGCTTTTTTTTTTTGGTAAGGATTTTGACAAGCTTTTTTTTACCACTCTAAATAGTGAAAAACGAAAATAACAATTTTCGATTAAAATATTTTTCTGCAAACAAACAAAATCCTAGAAGAACTTTTCAAAACTCAGTCATAAAAATAATGCAGGGTCACATCCCTCCGGATTTTACTTATATTACAGATCATCCTCTTAGAACCAGAACTTTTTACGAATTTATTTAAGCCTCAACCATATAGTTACTATGAGTATATGCAAGCATGGTATAACTTTTTAAATCAGAAACATTTTGATCATTCATGTTTCTTCTTCTTTGATAAAAATTTTCAGAAAACGAGTCCTATTTGGTTCCAAGACTGGTTTAATCTAATTTGGTCCAGGTTCTCATATTTTCCCTCCATAGGTTTCAAATGGATACAATTACTTCTCTCGAAATATTCAAGAACCTCTTCATCTTCACATGTTAGATCTTGTTCAGTAGACCGTGGCATGCTCTATTCTTGAAAGATAATTAGAAAATTAAATGGTGGTCAAAATTTGCCCCTCCATTTGCAAATGAAGAGGCGTTTATGGTTCGCTGCAAATCCCACTCGGTCAAAGTCGCAGACTACCAGAACAAACTCAATTATTCCTCAACAAAGGTCAACATCAAGCTCCACTTGCAGCCGCTCAAGATCAAAAGTCTCTGCTAAAAGTAGTTCGGGAGACAATGTCTCAAGCAGGGTCTGACGATGTAGAAAACAGTTTTGCTCCTCAACATCAAGATGATTGTTATGGCATAAACCTCATGAAGCAAGCAATAATTTTATCATGTAACAGAAGTGTCCAATAATAGAATTCATGCAACAGTATTCCTCAATGTTGTATATCATGAAGCCATAGTAGCAAGTTTCCTCTTTGGATAAAATTTCCTTCATCTGCTCAAACTCAAACTCAAGATATATCTTTAACATGTGAGGTCACGAGATCGAAACCATTTGCGATGGTAGTGCATACATCTCATTGCGTCAGAATGGTTCTGGACCTTTGGCACCTTGATGGGGTAATTGTGATGGGGCTTGCCTACTTCAATGAATTGGTCATGAGTGGTGCTAAGTGACGACTTTCTCGGAATAAGAATATCTCATTGCAGACGCAAATCCTCAAAGCAACATCCAGATGGTAGCCACGGCTATCGATCCTCCCTCCCTTCCCCCTCCTGCACAGGAAATATAATATGTAGGTCTGCTAAAAATGTTGTCAAGAGATGGAGTAGGTATTTGAATAAAAGAAAGATAAACTTTAACCTTTGATCAGGCAACCAGTTTGTGAATGGGTATTGACCAGCAGGGCTCATCAAAATCTAGCTGTCACATTCGCATATTCAAACCTCTGTTTTCAGTAGCGTTCGTTCATCTGCACCATAGCAGTTGGAAGAAAGAAAGCTTCTTATTTCGATTATTGACCTGAGCATGTTAAAAGGATATTATCTAACAAATCCAGGCATTTATACAGAATTTCATTATAGTACTTTTTGGCTAGGCAAGGCCTACATTATAGCTAGTAAAAGCAATTCTGTACTTAGAGTTGAATATAGAGTTTAGTTGACTGTGATAATATTTTCATAATTAATTCTCCCGAACAGTGCCAAAGAATGAAAATAGGGAAAATATATTCATACAGCTTTCTCAAAAAATAGATTGTCTTACAAAATAATTTACTGTGCTAAAATGGTTCTTTCGCAAATGATTAAATCATTTTACTGTGCATGGGAAAGCTGACTTCCGTGGCGATAGAGTATCAAACTTCCAGGGGCACAACAAATGGACTTATTGCTAGGACAAAATGCGCAAAGAATCATAAATTATACCAGGACTGCAATCCCATCTCAGTTCTTAAGCTATTGCAAATGATACTGCATGCTCAATGCCAAAAACTTGGACTCATCCTTTCACGAGCCCTTATCAAGTATATATGACAAACGAGGGCCAGTGTGACTGTGAGTCCGACCTGTATATCGCAACAATCCTCTCTTCGTCCTTTTTCGCTTTCTCTATGTAGCTGAGCCTCATTTTCTGTTTTGTAAGGTAATGTGAACCCATCGAACCATTCTCTCTTGATGTCAATAACTAGATGCACCTTATTCAAGGAAAACTGAAGCACCTTCCTATAGTCCTGGAAATTCCCATGGAAAGGCGCCACCTTGACTTGAGAAACCAGCCAGACCTCATCTGAGCTTCCAGCCATTAGATGCTCATCGTGACTAACCTGCAAATCACGGCGAAAAGAGGGCTGTTATCCGTGAAAATGATCCATCATTGGTCAAATTGAAGTATTTTGACAAGAAAATCAATCTCACCATCAGAATTCCTGATTGGAGCAAGACCAGACCTTGAATGAGTGCCTCCGCCACATCCAAATCCTACGGTTGAGGATAGGCAAAAATGCAAAATTCACAGTCACTCATCCTTAGACAAGAAACAAACAATTTGCAAAGATAATACTTTAGCAGTCATTGGTCATTAAAGTAGAACTTGAAGACCAAATTTATAAACAAAAGTAGGTCCACAACCACATTAACTATGTGCAGAGCCCAATATTTCCTATAGGCACAGATATCAGAACTATTTGGTATAATGATTACTCTAATATGAAAAAACTGATCAGGCTAGCATAACTGTTCTATTCCGAATATTTTCCAAGTTGGAATAATTAGATTGGTTTATGTTCCATTATAAGTTATATATATGATGACAGAGGCTCTCTGTAGCTGTAATCACTGATTGGTTCTCCTAAAATTTCAATGTAAGAGCAGATTTTGATAAGTTCAATTAGTGCAAGAAAAATAATAAGCTAACTGAAAAGGCAATTGAAGTCATAAGATGGAAAAAAATGAGTAAACTTACCAGATGATTGGATGGCTCATCAAGCAAAACTATGTAAGGTTTCTCGAAAGTTATCTTGGCAAATGCAGCTCTGCTTTTCTGACCACCTATTCATATGGTCAAAGCACCATGTTATATCTGCAATAAAATCCAAATAGCCTCGGAGTAGTACACAGTGAACTACAATTCAGATTACAAATTGACTAACCTCTACGAGAGCTTCTAAATTTCATGCGAAAATTGCTGCAACAAAAAATTTACATATGCAACAGTAGCAAGAGGGAGGAGATGTACCAGACAAGGTATACATTGGTTGAAGTGCACGATTTCCAGTTACACCAAAGTAACCCAAGTGAGCTCGAAGCTTTTCTTCCTGAACTCCCTACAGGAAGAATGCCACATAAGAAGGTATTTTCAGATAAAATGACACAATGTATGACGAAATCATTTTTCGCAGTGGAGTAAACGCAAATGCAAACCCAGAGGCAGGCAGCATATCATTACAATCTCAACGAAACAAGCATAAGTATAATGGCTGAATATTTCTAGCAAGCTGTAAGCAATAGTTCCTAAGCCACCAGAGATCAAGACCCAAACGGAAGGTGATTTATGGAATATCAATGCTGTCATGAATAGGAGTTGTATTGAAAGCTTGGAGCCACGAGCTGCCTCAGAATATTATCCCAGATCGACTGCTTAATACTACGAAGGATCATCATCAACAAAAAGAAGGTTCTCGATTCTAAAGAAAATCATAAAAAAAAAATACTGCATCCCCTTTCTTCACAATCACATCACAGCTTCCACATAACTGATCATTTTTTTAGATTTTGAAAAAGATTATATTCACTAGAAGAAAACTTAGAACATATCAGTGCACCAAATAAATTTCATTGTTTCTTCTCTTTCTTTTGGGATAAATTGCAAAAAAAATGACATAAAAACCATCGACAGCATTAGCCCTACCTCAACAATGTTCGCAAATGATCCTTCCAATAGATTTTGCCAATGCAGACTACAATGGTCCCTGCAAAACAACTAGAGTGAATGAGCTAGGGCACAAGAAAAAGATGCTGTGAAGAGAACAAACAACGAACGCTGAAAATGCAGAGGAATATGATTGCAGAACGCTATGATTCTCCGTGACTCTCGTGCTAGGCATAGTACATTTTTCATTCACAATTTGTTTGGGCATCAAGCAGAGTTGAAGATAGGTCATCAATATAGCAAGAGGAAGATCCAACCCAACGAGAAAACCCACCCGAATGTCCGTCTTTGACCTTCAATGGCTGGTTTTTTGGAAATTTATGGGAAACATCTCCACTGGAAAGTATCAATTTGTATTAAGCATCGAATCAAGGAAGCAGAAATGGAAATCGATGCCTCCAAAAACCATAAAACTCACCCGAACCCTAGAAAACCCACTGTGCATGGCCGAATCAATTCACTGGATCCGATCGCCATCAATGACGATGCTCGGGATGTCTTGGATGAGGGGCCAATAGTCGCCACCGAGGTTTGAGCATTGGTTTTTCAGAATCTCGCATCCTCCTATCCACAATTGTTGGAGGGAGGGAGGGAGGCCATCGTCTGGCAAGTACCTCAACTTCGGGCAATCGTAAATCTCTAAATATTGGAGAGAGGAGAGATGGTTGCGAAGACCGCTCGACAGTCTTTCCACGTTCTTCATCTGGTAAATGCCAAGAGAGGTTAGAGAGGAAGGGAAGAGAAGACTCCACGCATCCTCCTCCTCCTCGTTCTCCTCCGAAGGAAACCGCACCTTCTCTCCCTCCCCTCCCATGCTCCTTCCGTCAATTCCCAGACTCTCGAGGGAAGCGAGCATGTGTAAGCCCCATTCTCTCACTGGTTGCTCCAGATTCTCACACATTCCAATTATAAGGTGCAGCAAATTGGGAGGAAAACCTCCTTCGGGGAAGCGTTTGATATTTTGGCAATTGATAATATATAGATACCTGGAGGGATGAAAGACGATGCCACTGATTTGGTAGAGACTTTACCTTAGGACAACTACGGAGCCAGAAACACGACAGGGTGAGGGGAAGGGGAGGGAAGTCCTCTATCTCCAATGCTAGACAGCCACGTATTTCCAAACGAGTGAGATGGGAGGGCGTGCGAAGGCACTGTGGTAGGCTTCTTAGTTTCATACAGTTGTTAATAGTTAAATATTTCAACGATTCTATGGCAATCTCTTCCATCGACTCCACTCCCTCACAATCACTAATTTGAAGTGTCTTTAGAGCAGCAAGTTGAGGCATCGAGTTATTACTGGTGGGGTCATCGGGAGCAATGATAAATCCCATGAGTTTTGGACAATTCGCAATAACCAAATTTCTGAGGGCCTGCATTTTGCTCGAAAGTTTTTCTAAACTCATGCAATTCCTTAATTCCATGCTTTCAAGGTTGGAAGGAAGCTCTATCTCTTTTTCTCCTGCCACAAAAGACGTGAATTGAGCACAGCTTTGGATGGCTAATTTCTGGAGGCAAATAAGATTTCGCGTTTCATTTTCATCTTGCCACAAGTGTGTTAGCTTGTCACAGCTTGTTATTTGAAGCTCCTTTAGCTTGACCCAACCACTCATAAACTCATGATTAAAGCAAACGAGATCTGCAAGATTTTCAACTCTGAGAATGGTTAAAGAAGTTAGGCTGACCAAGCACGTTAAGATCTCCTTATTACAATCCTCAAGGTATAACTCGTGGAGAGATGGAAGATGAACCATGCCGGTTAAGTTATTCAAATGCGGGCATGAATGAATTTCAAGCTTTATGAGAAGATCAAGTTGACAAGGCAATGTCCCGACCAACGAAGGACAGCTCCGGACAACAAGATGCTGAAGACAGGAGAATGGGAATTCTTCCTTTGGGTCCCCGGCATAACGACCCCAATCCTTCCATGCCAACATCTCTTCAAACTTCAAAGTTGTTAAGGTCGAGAAAGGCCTTTTACCACCATAAAATTCAGAGCCTATCATTCTTACTGCATGTAGACCTTTAAGAGATAATTCCTTAAGTGAAGGTAGTTGTCCAAGTAGGGGCAGCGACGTGACATTAGGACAGTCTCGCAAGTACAAAGACACTATCTTAGAATATGATGGACTATCTAACCAGGATGGGAGTTTTGCACCACCATAGTATGAGATAGTGAGATTTTCAAGATGAGTGTGAGGTTGCAGAAAGTGAAGCACTTGCGCTTCACGCTTATCATTCCGCAAATTTCCAAAATCTTCACCCCAATGCAAGGCTAAGTTGCTAAGGCCTTGCTTTCCTGACAAATTAGCATCAACCGCGTCTCTCACTTCTTCCACCTTTTGCAATTCTGATATGAGTAATTCTCCTTGAAGATGTGGCAACTTCTTTAACTCTTTTAACTGTGACCCTTTCTCTATTCCCACCACAAACTTGGACAAGATAGTAAGATTCTTCAAATTACTAATACCCAATGGCATCTCTTTTAGACTTTTTGTATCTCTAATGTCAAGAAACTGTAAGCTGACCAAGTTTGTGATACCTGAAGGCAACATAGAAAGCTTTCGACAACCTCTCAATATCAAAGCTTGTAATTTGCACAAGGTGCTAATTGACTCGGGTAGCCATTTGATATCAGTGTACGAGAAATTGAGATATCGAAGATGTTTTAAATCACCGACACAATGCGGTACCTCTGTGATGTAACAATGACATAACGAGAACACCCTCAAGTACTTTAAGTTTGTTAGCACGTCATGTAGCACCTTGTTGGAAATACAGAAAGAGCCCTCACTAGATCCAACACATCCTAGAATTAAACTTCTTAGTACCTTCATTCCGTGACATGCTCCCAGGCATTTTGATGTAACATGCCATGTTGTCATGAATGATGCATAACGAGCTTTCTCTAGAGATGCATCGTCTTCATTACTTGCCAGCTGAGAGTCCCCTGATCTATAGCATGTCCCACCCGCAATTGACTTTGCTAGATCATTCAGAAGATCATGCATTGAAAACTTAGATGCATCGACCCTTGATTGTTGAAGAAATGATCTCGATACTAACTCATCGAAGTGATCTTGTCCCAGTCTCAAGATATCCTCATTTGCCTTTTGTCCATCTAAAAAGCCCTCTGCTATCCATAAGAGTACCAGCTCATCCCTCTCAATTTCATAATCCTTGGGAAATACCGCACAATAAGCAAAACATCTCTTCAAATAAGAAGGAAGATGGACATAGCTCAATTTCAAAACTGGGAGTACCTCATCTTTTTTCCCTTTGGAAGATCCCATATTCTGTTATTTAAGATAGCTTTCCATTTATCTGGATTCCTTTCGTTACATAGGACACCACCCAACATCTTCGCTGCCAAAGGTAAGCCTTTACATTTTTTAGCTAATTCCTTGCCTATTCTTTCAAGATCTGGGTGGCTTTCAAAATTTGTTGCTCCAAGAGCATGAAAGGTTAATAAGCTTGTACAATTATCAAGGGACAGCTGCTCCAAATGATACGGTGAAGCTCCTCTTATGGAAACAACGGGAAGGTTGCGAGTCGTGACAATGATCTTGCTTCCCTTGGCCCCCGCTTCAAATGGCTTTAAGAAGTCAGTCCATTTTCCGTAGTTCTCATTCCATACATCGTCTAAAACCACAAGAAACTTCTTCCCGGATAAACTGTCCTTCAACTTAACTTGAAGTCCGTTAAGATCTTCGCCCTCGCAGGACAACCCGGTGATCGACCGCAAAATAGTCTTTGTTATGTCAAAAACATCAAAAACATCTGACACACAAACCCATGCTCTCGTCTCGAAATAGCTTTTCACTCTAGCATCATTATACAGCCGTTGAGCCAATGCCGTCTTTCCAACACCACCCATCCCAACTATGGGGACTATGCTCAGCGTGGCATCAGAATTTTCGACCTCACTGACCAATCGTTCGAGTATCTGTGCTTCTTCCTTCTTCCTGCCAAAAAACTGAGTCTCCGGCAGAGAAGTGCTAGGGAGCTTTTGGTTGGTGTAGTAAGATTTGCCCACAACATTCTCTCTCAAGCTTAAACGATCCTTCCTGATGACAATATCTTCCAACCTGCCATTGATCTCCTGGACCTCGGTTTCAGACACGAGCAAGCACGGGTTTAGATTCGATCTGGAGGATTTATCTTGGCCAAAGCAAGAGAACTTCCAATTTATCCGACCTCTGCTTGTGCTGGATTTTGCCCCCGACTTAACCTGAGTGGCTTGGAGCGCGAGCACATCGAGCAAGTCTTCCATGTCATAGGCCAAGTCCCTAACATCGTCCAACCACAGCTTCACTAGACAATTACTGCTCAGTTGCCTGTCCTCTGCATCATCCAGCACTGCATTGATTGTATCTAGCGTCTTCCTCCAATTATTGAGCAGGTCGGTGCTGATTCCAGAGAAGGGCGGTGCTCCTTCCCTTTGCGCATTGCTCAATCCCAAAGAAGCTAATTTGTCGAATAGGACCTGAAAGAAGGAAGCCAAGACGGAACCCAAAACAATCTCTACAATGGCCATGGGTGAATCAGTCACTGTAGACAACAACAAAGGTTATGGTGAATCAAAGCGATAATGACCTAATAGAGAGAGAAAACTATGAAGTCGAGGAAGACCAAGACTTTCACCTACCAAAGAGAGGAAACGAAGATCAAGACTTTCGAGGATGCTTTCTATCCACAAGTGCTTGTTTCGTAATATTTAGAGATTATCCCAGATATTCGTAGTTTCCACAATCATATATCTGTTCATGTAAATAAACCATAAACTCAAGAAAATCAAGACCTTACCGGGTATGATGAACTTTTTTGTCGTGAAAGTGAAGCAAAATTGACAAAGAGCTGATGGGAAAGAAACTTTAATAAAATCCAGGAAGACAAGACTTATGGAGACTGATTATTATCTGACAATTAGCATTGATTATTGTTCTCTTGCTCAAAATCAACTAATTTTTGTCCAACTTTTGTCATTTTTAACCATGTTGTGATTTTTCGTTCATTAATCTCTATTGTACTTGTCTGTCGGAATTATGTCTAGATTTTCATTGATCTTTCCAAATTTAAGTTTAATAAATGAAAAAAGAGCAAAAAGATAAACTAAAAAAGATAAACAGCAAAAAACTGATAAAGAAAAAAAATGCAGGAATGGGGCGATAATACTTTCGTGACTTGCGGAGAGTTCCACATCACATTTTTGTTTTGTTTTCTTTAAATGAAGATGCAATCTAAAGCTGTTAACATGCATAAAGATTGTCCCAGATTTTCCAATTTATAACATTTGATTTATGAAAGGAAACGTGCAAATATTACAATTAATAATAATCCACTCCAAATGGCCTAGATGTGCATGATAATGCTTGCCCACGAAAATTCTAATTTTTCTAATATAATTGTCATGATACGAATATAATGCAATTCTATCTTAATATGTAATGAAAAATCATAAATTAGAGGTCAATTTTGGCTCGAACAAGTACGCGTGCAGATGTATCACCTCATTAAAACAACTAGGCCAAATTAAGATCAACAAATCACCATGAATTATGCAATCAAGCCACAACTTTAATCTGGCCAGCAAGTACTTGACATCAACCTCCCTTGCTGCATCAGTTTTGAGGGAAAAAGGGAGCAAGTAGATAGATGTCTCTTACCTATTTCGAGTAGACTTCCTGGAGTTGACCGGAAAACGGGTTTAGATCAACGAGTAGGCAGCTTGTTGTGACGACTCACGACGCCACTTAGCGATGATCACGGCAAGGCAGTGGTGGGAACGTAGCAATGAGGTGAGGACTCCGGCTTGACCACGGCAGCAGGTGAACTGTGATGGGCGATGGGCCTATCTCGTGCTGAATAACGGCTCTATCATGCCCAGTTTGAATGACAAAATATGACTAGCGATCTGGACAAATCAACAACAGCAATCCAGCAAGCACGAGCGCTAAGTTCGGATGAACAGGAGGAGAATACTATTGAGCAGGGGGACAAGCACTGGATTCGGCGGTTCAGTCTATGCGTGTGAATTCAGCTATGGCAATGCGTGGCCACCGCTTGCAACGACGAATAATAATATCAATGGAGATACGACTAGAATAGCAGATCAAAGATGTTGGTGATTGGCGACAATCAACATGCATGCAAGACGGGAATTGAATGAAAGTGGAGTCTCTAGGTGTGAGTTTGATAATGATGATGGTGGTGGTGGTTGAAAACAATTATTGGATCACGTTCGCCGATTGTGACCAAAGATCGGTCCCTTCAATGCTAAAACAAAATGATTGAATTGGTAGGACCTTGCCTTAGACTTTTTTGTCACCATGTCCCATCAAGCATAGCATTAAGGACTTGACCCCTCCGAGGACGATGACCCACCATCCGCCAATTGTTAAAGGCCTAAAAGCTACACACGATTGATAAAATCATATCTTGTTGCTTGATTCAAATAAAAATATTCGCCCGTTTTCCATTCCAAAAGAAGAGCCCTTAAGACTCGTATGGTGCTACGAATTGTTATCATAAAATTAGCCCATATTATTTCGGATACTTTTATCAATCATGTTTTAAATATCGAAAGTTATAAAAATCAACAAGAGTGGAGAATCTAAATATAATTGTCTTGATACGAATATAATGCAATTCTATCCTAATATGTAATGAAAAATCATAAATTAGAGGACAATTTTGGCTCGAACAAAGAGAAAAAAGAAAAACTAAAAAAGATAAACAGCAAAAAACTGATAAAGAAAAAAAATGCAGGAATGGGGCGATAATACTTCGTGACTTGCGAAGAGTTCCACATCACATTTTTGTTTTGTTTTCTTTAATGAAGATGCAATCTAAAGTTGTTAACATGCATAAAGATTGTCCCAGATTTTCCAATTTATAACATTTGATTTATGAAAGGAAACGTGCAAATATGACAATTAATAATAATCCACTCCAAATGGCCTAGATGTGCATGATAATGCTTGTCCACGAAAATTCTAATTTTTCTAATATAATTGTCCTGATATGAATATAATGCAATTCTATCCTAATATATAATGAAAAATCATAAAATAGAGGTCAGTTTTGGCTCAAACAAGTAGCGTGCAGATGTATCACCTCATCAAAACAACTAGGCCAAATTAAGATCAACAAATCACCATGATCAAGCCATGCAACTTTAATCTAGACAGCAAGTATTTGACATCAACTTCCCCAAAAATTTTGTTATTAAACTTGCAATCGGGATTATAGATAGACATGAAATCGGTTTAAGAACCAAATTTTTGTTGCTACTGTCGCCTCTTCTTTTGCTCAAAAGATTGCTTTTCCCTCCATTAATTGAAAGATTTCAGAAACGATATGGGTGGTTGCTCTCATGTAATGAATGTCTACCGGATGCTTTAGTGAGCGAAGTTCTGGCTGCATCGGTTTGAGGGAAAAGAGAGCAAGTAGATAGATGTCTCTTACCTATTCCGAGTAGACTTCCTGGAGGAGACCGTTGAACGGGATTAGATCAACGAGAGCAATCCAACAAGCATGAGCGCTAGGTTCGGATGAGCAGCAGGAGAACACTGTTGAGCAGGGGAGGAGCATATGGTGAAGCCAAGTGATAATGAGATAATGGAGAGAGAAAACTATAAAGTCCAGGAAGACCAAGACTTTTCACCTACCAAGACATGAAATGAAGACCAAGACTTTTCACCTACCAAGATATGAAATGAAGACCAAGACTTTCGAGAATGCTTGCTATCCACAAGTGCCTGTTTTGTAATATTAAATTATCCCAGATATTTGTAGCTTCCACGATCATATATATTTCTTCATGTAAATATACCATAAACTCGGGAAGACCAAGACTTTACTAGACATCATGTACTTTTTGGTCTAGAAGGCGAAGCAAGAGTGAAAAGGAGCAAATGGGAAGGAAAGTTCAATAAAATGCGGGAAAACCAAGACTTTGCAAGACACAAATTGGCTTTGGTGCTTCACTTTTTAAAAAGACAAACCAAAAAAAAAAAAAAGCAAAAAACTGATAAAGAAAATAAAATGCAGGAATGGGACGATAATACTCTTCGCGACTTGCGGAGAGTTCCACTATACATTTGTTTTTTTTTTTTTAATGAAGATGCAATCTTAAATTACTAACACGCAAGATATGATTTTTCTTCATTTTCCAATTTGGAAACGTGCAAATATGACAATTAATAATAATGCACTCCAAATGGCCTAGATGTGCATGATAATGCTTGTCCTAATACTAATATAATGAAACTCTATCCTAATATGTAATGAAAAATCTTCAATATGCCCAATTATGCAAATATGGACACCCTTAAAATTGTGAATATAACTTTCCCCAAAAATGTGAATGGCTAATATGCAATGTCCTAAATGTACAACACCTAATAAATCTACATGTGGTTTTATTAAGCATGCCCCCTAATATACAAATCTAGAATGCAAGGAATGTATAGGCAATGTAAACATGAATTTACACGTGAAGACGTGATCGAGAGTGACCTAGTGATATGCAATTTCATGAACACCGACGGCAAAAATATTCAACAAATCACCATGAATTATGCAATCAAGCCATGCAACTTCAATCTGGACAGCAAGTATTTGAACATCAACTTCCCCCAAATTTTGTTATTAAACTTGCAATTGGGATTATAGATAGGCATGAAATCGGTTTAAGAACCACAATATTGTTGCTCAAAATAATGATTGTGCCTCAATTAATAGAAAGATTTCAGAAAGAATAGGTGATTGCTCTCGTGTAATAAAGGCCCACCAAATACTTTAGGTAGCAAAGTTCTGGCTGCATCGGTCACGGAAATGGGCGGCCACCGTTTGCAACTACAAAAGACAATATCGATAGAGCTACGACTAGAATCGGTTTGCAGGGGATTGGGCAGATCAAAGAGGGTGGTGTTGAATAATCTACGTCCTACCATTGGCGGTCAAGCAAGAAAAATCAAAGTTGGCCTCCGAATCTTAGTCAACTTTGCTTAATAAAGAAGGAAGAGAAACAGGCCGTGAATCAGGCTCCAAGCTGTCACTTTTAGAAAACAAGTCGACAGATCAACATGCCTTAGCCAAACCTTTCCTCTATTAGATAACAAGTTGGCCTACATGCTCCGCGTGAGCGCACAATTCATATGAAAGCCAAGCTTTTCCTCTGTTATTACTTGAAGTGAAATGGTGTTATGCCTTGTTAATACGCAATGTGTATGTGCTAATTATTGCTATCCAGGAGAAGTCACAATCATGCACTATCGGAAGCATGTATCCAAATGATTCGCGATTTGCATTTTAACTGTATAATGATTTTGAAGCTGAAAATCTATACCCAAAGGCTCGAAATTATGTCAAACTCCATCATTACATGGTAATCGTGGCTGAGGATTCTGCAACTAGTGATCTCATGCCAGCATATGCCTCCCTGGCAGCTCCTTGAGCATCGGGAGCCAAAATCGCGTCGAAGGATCACTGCTGAAGTGGATGACTTGAGCAACATATACGACCATGAAGGTCAAAGTTGCAGCAAGGAGTAGAAGAGCTAGAGAAGACGATCTGGTTAGGGTAGAACAATCCAACCGGTTCAAGTGATTTCAGGATCAACACAATGCAGAAACAAATAAGATGTTGAATTTTAATTGCCTTCGTAATATTTTGGTAATATAAATGTTGATAGTTCGTGCAAAGGTAGTCAGGCTGTTGTGAAGCGGGACGAGCGGGTTTAACAACTTATCAAACAAGAACGTGCAATCCCTCTAATCGAGGTGCTCTCCCAAATCTTAATCGCTTACGACGTTGAGAAATATACTAAAAGGTAGTTGTCACTAGCCTATTTAAGTAGGCAAGGTACCAGCCAGAGAACGTTCTTTTTCCTACGAGCTAGAGATCCTAAGTTTGGAGATTTGATTACACTAATTACTTATTAGGTGATTTGTGTCATCTTTATCAAATTATGGATTCTAAGTATTCTTCAATACGTGTCTATACATGCTTGTTTGATTGAGATTGACTCGAAAGTGTAATCTACTCGTCGAACGAAGCTAAAGAAATCGAGTCACGATATTAAAATAAAGAAAACAACACAACACATCAAAATGACAATAAAGGACGAATAAAAGTAAAGTGTGAAAAGTAAATTCGATACGAGACGAGCAAAGTATATGCCGCCTCATTATTAAGTTTGGGGACATGAACCTGTGAGCTAATTTTCGAAGTCAAGTCAAAGTCTAATTTCGGCTAAGGAGAATTACCTACGGTTTCACTAACGATATTAAAGACGAAAACATTCAACGAACTAAAGTAATACTATCATAAAAGCAAATAAGATTTTTTTTTATCTTATTATTATATTCTGACCAAAAAAAATCTTATTATTATTATTGTTATCCTCATCCTCATCATCATTGTTTTTTAATTTATTATTTATTATTATTTATCTTTTCTCCTTTAAATTTGACAATGATATGTTTGTTCATCTTTAAACAGTGATAATTACTAGTATTCCTTCTTCTTCTTTTTTTTGTGTAAACTCAACAAGATTGACGGATACCAGATATTTTACTCGAAAAGTGATGGGAAGTGGGCTGATGTAGTGGTGGCCACGGGCCGGTTTCGGCCCGGAACCGGACCGGTCAAACCCGGGCCCGGACCGTTGACCGGGCCCACGGTTTGGAACCGGGCCCGAACCGCTGGCCGGCCCGGTTTGACCGTCCGTCCGGCCGGTTCCGGCCGAAACCGCCCGTGGCCACCAACAAAACTTCCCATCACTTTTCGAGAAAATATCCGTATCCGTCAATCTTGATGAACCGCTGTCGCCGGTTCGAAAAAAAAAAAAAAACTAAAAACCGCGCAGCAGCAGAGTCGCAGAGTCGCACTGCACTCACTTTGCAGTGCAGTGACCGTTGGCCTAACGGGCAAAGTTTTTTAAAAAAAAAAAAAAAAAACCCCCCGGGCCCCCCCCCCCAGGCGCCCGCAGCAGGGCCTGCACTGCAGGCCCTGCTGCGGGCAAAATAAAAAAAAAAAAAAAAATCCCCGCAGCAGGGCCTGCACGTCTGCAGGCCCTGCTATGGGCTTGCGGCCCGTTGGCAACGGGCAAAAAACTATTAAAAAAAAAAAAAGATAACCATTGCAAAATTGCAATGGTTATCTTTTCTTTTTTTTTTTAATTCTAAATTTTCTTCTCATTTTTTTCTTATAAATTCTCTCAATAGTCGAAATTCTCTCAAATTCTCTTAAATTCTCTCAATTTTCTCAATACACGCAATTCTTTCTTAATTCTCCCAATTAATTCACTCAATTCTCTTAATCCACTCAAAAAATGGCAAGTGGAAGTCGAGTGCCAACTGGCAAAGGTAAGAATATCGCGACGGAATCCCATCATTCTTTTGATCCTCGTGAATATGCAGATTTTCAAGATGATGAAATCAACATTTTTCCCGATGTGGAGCGCGTCCCGGCGCAAGAAAGTTTTCATCCTCCTGCCGAAATATCTACAACAAAGGAAGTGGAACGGGAATTTACATCTGACATTTGGAATCATTTCACGAAAATGGAAAGGTTTGATATTGGTCAAAAAAGGTATGATATAATTTGTAAATATTGTGGGAAAATATATAAATATACAGGTGGACAAGGATATGGAACATTTAAACGACATCTTACGAGCAAACATCCAACCGAAACGGGAATCGATATCGGGCAACAACAAATTTCCGGGTACGTCAATCCTAACACTTTCCCTTTATTTCGTTTTAATGAAAAAACTTATAAGGAAGAATTAGGCAAATTTATTTCCGTTGAGCATTTAGCATTTAATTTTGGAGAAAGATTTGGTTTTAATGAATTTGTACAAAAAGCATGTGCTCCACAAGCAAAACGTGTTCCTAGAAATTCAATTAAACGAGTAATTAAAGATCTTTACAAAAATGGAAGAAAAGATTTACAAAACTTTTTTATGCAATTTAATGGATGCGTGCATATAGGTAGTGATATTTGGAGTGATCATTGGCAAAATCATTCTTACATGGGCATAACATGTCATTGGATAGATGACGAGTGGAGTATTCAAAAAAGAGTTATTGCATTTAGAGTTTTCGATAATAAGCATACGGCAAATAATATTTATAGAATAATTAGGCAAATTTTAGAAGAATATTATTTGCTTAACAAAATTTTTTCAATTGGTTTTGATAATGCTGCGGCAAATACCGCTTCAATTGCCGATTTAGAAAATATTTGTAAACCCGCTTTTGGTGGAAAATTTTTTCACATTAGATGTGCTTGTCATGTTTTAAATTTATGTGTACAAGATGGTTTGAAAACTCTTGATATTTTTCTTCAACCAATAAAAACGGTGATTCAATTTTTATGGAAACATCCCTAGAAAATGAAAGAATGGGGTAGATTTTGTAGAGAAAATGGCAAAAGGCCAAAAAGATTTCCAAAAGATGTTCCAACTCGTTGGAATTCTACTTTTCACTTGCTTAATGAATCTTTAGCATATAAAGATTTATTATATGCATTTATTTCTAATAATATACCTGAGATTAATTTATACCCACAAGAGTGGGATATTTGCCAAAAAAT